CACACACACACACACACACACACACACACACACACACACACACACACACACACACACACACACACACACACACTCCGCATTGCTTGCTATAGAGGTAAAACTGTTTCATTGTTGGATTGGCTCATCTCAAGTGTGCTTCTTTGTCTGGAATAGAGGTAAAGCTTTGATTTTGGATCTACTCATCTGGGTGTAACAGGGGCTATTGTGGTCCAAATCTAACACACACCACACACACTCACACACTCACACACTCACACACCCACACACTCACACACTCACACACTCACACACTCACACACACACTCACACACTCGCACACTCACACACTCGCACATCCAAGCATGGACGTACAGACAAAGACAGGGGTGGACAGACAACCAGACACGTTGCACAGCCTGAGACTTCAGCAGCCAAGGTGTGTATGCAGGAAAAGTTAACCAGGGCTCCAATCGTCTGGTATCTTTCAACTGACTTTCCGACAAAACCATGGAAATGATTCTGGCCGATTTATGCCTAGAGTGCATATGCTATGATCCTACCAGTAGTTCAAATTATGATGCAAAACTTAAGTTTGAAGCGAGTACATTGCAACACAAAGATGAAGAGAAGGAGAGGAAGGAGAGAGAAACGAAGAAGGGTATTAACTTACTATTAAGTTACTATCAACTCCCCCCTCATCTCACCACCAACTCATCATGCACATATCTCCTCCTCCTCTCTGATTGGTCAGCAATTACAGAACAAATACATGTTTGAACCAAGAGTCAATGTCCAATGCATCTCCCTAGAAAATGCTCTCGAGATCGACGTTCCTTCAGCTCCTCTACCCGCAGGCTCTCTTCTTGGCAGCACTACTATGTCCAGCGTGTTATCCACACCACTCAGGCGGGATGTCCAGAAGACAAAACGAAAGAACTTCTTCATCTCTCCCGTAGAGCAATATCACCACACTCTTGGCGGGATCTCTCCACTCAAAGAAACCCTAAAGGGGTCTTCTTGATGTAGCGTCACACGTGGGGGTGAAGTTGGTAGTCCACCATAGCCAAAGGTAAGTGATCATCATGGTTCCCCTTTTCTTCTTCTGCCTCGGAGGATGATCACGACAGTCGTCACGACAGTCGTCGCATGACATGTACTCAATGTGTTCACTGTGAAAGTAACTCCTGGCACATTGAGTTCAGATTGCAGTTGTTGATTGCTTCCTGTACATGCCCCAATGTGGGCACGAAACGCCAATCTCCATAGCCAAATCCTTATTCTTTCACCTCCATAGCGATACCTTTCTTCTTCCACCTCCATATTCATGATGGAGGTCATCCCTCTCATCTCTGAGCTTGCTCTTGACCCCCCAGCTGCTCCGCTATTCACAGTCAGCGCGGAGCAGCATAATGAATGCCGGAGAAGTAAGTGGACTGACGGGCTTGGCAAGTCATATACTGGCAGGCCTAGTAGATGCAACAACGAAGTTCGTCCTTCACGGGTAGCCGCAGGGCCTACCACGGCACTCACTCCATCCCACTAAAAAAAGGTGGGAAAATCATTGCAGACTGACACACCAAGTGATGTACTGGCTGGATTGGTAGATGCAACAGCCAAGCTCTTCCTTCACTGGTGGCTTTAGGCCCAACCCTCAGTTTGCCTCCATCCCACTGAGAGGTAGGGAAAATCATTGCGGACTGTAATCTCCCTTGAAACAGGACGTATCTAAGCTCAAACCAATCTATATCCGGTTTGTTCCATCAATACACATGCTGACAAGTTGCCGGAAAATCCCGACCTGTCCCTGCAATTTTACCTGTGTGTCCCTGTAGGCCCGCTACTCTTGTGAGAGGGGCGGTTAATGGAGGCCCAAAATTTCAGACAACTTGTCATGCCATTTATAACAAAACCCAAGGGGCATTTTAACTAAACTTGCCCCCAATTCATAGAGCGGAGACCATACTAACTAGTTGCAAAAAAAAAAAAAAACATAAAACAGCAAGGCAAAAGTGCACTTCCATGAAATTTCGCCAACATTCCAATTTCAGAAATAAGCGAATGCAGGTGCCGAAGGAAAAAGTGGCAAGATTACCATGGTCATCCTTACACCAGATCCACCTAAGCAAGGTGAGGATTTTGCAGTGGGTGATCCTCCACGTGGCAGTCCCGGCCAACTCATGGCTATTTGAGCGTCGTAGTCAACACCACCGTGACCTCTCCAGTGAACAGTGCACACAGTGCACGGAAGGAGTACTGGAGACCCTGCGTCACTGTCTCCTCTCTTGCCCAGAAGCAGTATATTTATGGGACGTGGCCAAGTCACTCTGGACTAAAATCACAGACTCTCCCTTCCCCGAGGGCGAGGAGACGCTTCTGATAGGAAGTGACCCTCCTGCGGTCGGGCGTCAGTACCGGAAGCGCACATTCCAGCTTATAAGGCAATACGTACTATGTACAATATGGAAGCGCAGATGCCAGCAGGCCATCAGAAACAAGCAAATGCACAGGCAAGAATCGAAGGAGACGCGCTACAATCTGATGGAAACAGACATCCGGGCACAATGGAAGAGAATCCGCAAGCAGGCCCAGCAAAACCCAATGCAAGCCAAGGACCTAACGGAAAAAGGTTTTGCTCCACGGGAAGATAGCAACATTAGCAGGCTTGACGCTGAGTTTCCACTGCTTTGAAAGATAGACAGATAAAAAAAGAAGCAATGAGGGTTTGGGGCATGGCAGAGGTATTAATCAGACATAGGTAAGAGAGCAATAGCGGAAGGCTAGGCATAGAGTTTCAACTTCCGAGATAGTTAAGGTAGGAGAAGCTAGGTTTTTAGGATAAAGGGACTTGCTCGTTCCGTAGGGTTTATGGTTTAAGAAGTACTGACAGAGAGGAGGTGTCGGAGGTAATGGGAAAGATGAGCAATAGCGCTTGGTTTAAGGGATCAAGACGAGGACGGGTGGAAAGATAGCAGGTAGGTTCTTTCGTCTTGCGCTATTTTGTCCTTTGTTACTCCAGTTTTTGTCTTTGTTCAGGGGTAGCATGAAGCTTCACAGGGGAAAGGGACACTAGACCCGAGTTCTAGTAAGAGCCTAATCTGGGTAATGGCCCCAGTCTTCCGGGTTGAGATGTGGAGGGATTCCCGGCCTCCTTTTGATCCTTATATATAATATAGCATGCTATTTCCGTAAAAAAAAAAAAAAAAATCTTGAGAAATTTCAGAAATCTCAGCAGAGGAAATTCCAATGCTCCAAATGATACCAAACCTTGAACCAAAATGAAAACAGGCCGAAAATAAATAAACAAAAAAACATGAAATTTTCAAATTTGACCCCCGAGGGCCCGAACCCTAATTTCAGTTTTGGACCCGTTAGTCATGAGCTGAACGTGGGGGTTTGCCCATACATTCTGTAAGCTAGCCCAAGTTTCAGTACTACCCCTTTAGGCTTCCAAATTGCAGGCAGATTCCCTTTGTGGAGCTCAAATCCAGTCGCTGCCCTCAGGTAAGCATCCTGGTCCAGAAACAACATGAGATTCAACATTTACCAATTTGTCCCCACAAGACTCTATGGAGCTGTCGCGGCTATAGCCAACTTACCGATCTACCCCTCCAAGTTCAGCATTCACAGGCAAGCACTTCTATGGAGCCCAGATCCAAGGACGGACACGTGGGTGAGTACAGCAAGCACTTGAGCAGACCAGAACTCATGGGAATAGATGATGTTGGATTCGCCATAGACGAGCTATTCTCAAAGCAAACTCAGAAATTTCAGTCTCAGGCAATCTGAGCAAGTGCATGACTCTGCTCAGCAAAAACTGAGATTTCTGAGACTGAAAACTGTGTGGGTGGGTCATTGCATGCACTACACTAACAAAAACCGGGAAAGCGAGTGGGAAAAAAAAAAAAGGGGAATCAAGCCCTAAAAGGGGGCAAAACCCTAACACAACCGTCTTTGTGAGCAAAATTCAGCATCAGCACCCGCTTATGAGATGTAGGGTGTTCACAGTGTTCGACGACACACCCACTTTTCAGGCCCACCGCCACCGCCACTTCACACAGGGCTATTATTCACACCAAAGAGACCCCGTGCTTTGAGGTAATGTTCAATGCATGTGGTCAGTAATGTGGAGCTTCGGTTATGCAAGCACAATAGCGTCCTCCATTCCATTAACCACAGCTCCTTCCGTTCCATTAACCACATGTCCTTCCGTTCCATTAACAACAGGTCCTGCAAGGAGTGGTGAAGGCGTAACCTGTGGTTAACTGCAGTTAACTGTGGTTAACTGTGGTTACCTGTGGTTGACTGTGGTTAGCTGAAGAACTGGTGAAGGCATTAGATAAGATCCCATATGTCTGGAGTTAAGAGAGCAAAAACTGGCCAAAGATACTCCTAGAGATGTCATGGTGAACTCTTTTCAAAAATGGAAGGATACTAGAGCAACTACCTAGAGGCCAGGATTGCACACCTGGCGACCGTTGACACCCACCGCCGACCGTTTTGCAGCCTACCAGTAGGGCCGACCAGTCTGTAGAGGGCCATCCACTGTTTTTTTTTTCAAATCTGAGTTCAGGGCTGTACGCCACTTGCTAAGTACACAGCTGAGAAACATTTGGGGAGGGGGGGGTAGGGGAGGGTTATGGGGGGTGTATAGGGCGGGTATAGGCGGGGTATAGGGGGCTATGGGGGGATATGAGGGTGTTGGATAGTGGTATGGGGGTGTTGGGGGATTGCATGGGGTTGTGGGGGGGAGTATGGGGACTTTGGGGGGATTATGGGGTTGTTGGTGGGGTTATTGGGGCTTATGGACCCAGTAAAAAAAGAAAAAAAGAAGAGAAAAAATTTGCGGGGTGCCAGCCGACCGTCAACTGGTAGGTGCCGACGGGTGGTGCGATTGGCTGGTCGGCAGCCAACCAATCCAGAGGAGCCAACCGTCAGCGCGACTACTCTGCTAGAGGCAACAAAGCAAAGATATTGAAGTACCCATGAAAATAAAATTCATCAAAGACTCCGATAGAGTTAAGGAGACCTCCCCTACCCTCATGCACCCCCCTCCTCCCTGACTACCACCACGACCACCACCACTGTACAACGGGCCAGTGCACAAGGCTGTGACTTGAAAATCACATATTGACCGTTCAAGGCCAAGCCCGGACTTTCCCAGATGCAGGCGCTCATCCTTCCACCAAGCCAGGAAGACAATGGGTGGGCCGATATGCGCAATCGAAGCGAAGTCGGGGGGGGGCTGTTGCAGGAGTCTCACAGGGCATCAGTTGAAGGAAACAGAGGTGAGAACTTCAAAAAAAAAAAAAAAAAAAAAAAGTTAAGAAAAACATTTGCAACTGAGTGCAGAGGCAGATCTGGAAGAGGGTGGCGCACACCATTTAAACTGCCAGTCTGGCACTGTAATTCAAGGTCTCAAATCAATTCCAGCCTTTTCCAGGAGGTCACATTTTCTTTTTCGTGATCGCCCGTAGGATGGAGCAGAGCCTACAGAACTTCCTGGTGGTCTTGGGGCTTGGCACCGTCGTCTTCCGGATAGGGTGGTAGCTTAACAATTTCTTGATTGCCTTGCATGCAAAGGCAAATGTAAACCACTCTCCAATTCCGTTCGTTTTAAAGGTCTGCGACTCTGTGGTGGATTTTTTTGCCTCGTTTGCATACAACTATTTCAGGCTATGAGAATTTGGAAGTTCGCTCTAACGACTCCAGAAAGAAAAGAAGTCTGAAGAACTGAATTCAAGAAATAAAAAACCCAGAAGTTGAAAGTTTAGCAAAAACGTTTTACACGTCAAGAGTCCAAACCATACTTGCAGCGCACTTCTGCGGTGCGCAATGCACAAATTAGTGATGCGCTCAATTTTAATTATTTTTTTGGGGGGGGGAACAAAACAGTGTCTCATTCGCTGCGTCGCGA